CGGAAGATTTCCCTTCTGACCATATACAGCTTTTAACTAAGTTAATATTCGGTCATTCACCTCACGCTTTGGTGTTATCCTTCATTTAAAAGACTTGCTGCGGTTTGCTGCTAGTTTGTACTCATCAGGTGGAGATAGCCTGAGCTGGGGTGAAACACAGGCTACAGTTCACAGCTGACGCTCTGGGCACTATGCTACTGAAGTCCGCGAGCAACACTTGACACGACGGAAAGCAATTCGAAATTGAATTTAGGGAACACATTTATGTCCAGTTTGCTACGTTTAGTGTTACGTTTGTGCTACCAGGGACGCTCCGTCTATGCTCTCGACGCCAACGACATTCTCCCTAGCTAGCTCTCTCCGGGTGCCCTATTTTTAGCATTAGCTAACGCTCCTCCCGTCCAATAAACTTCTTCCCTGCGGATAACGACGTGCGTTTGGGTGCTCCGTTTCTCTTTGGGTCTTTTGGCAAAGGAAGGTGTTCGAACTTCATTTACCTGGAGATTCGACTGCTAAATATTTAGAATTTGTCAAGTACAAGGCACGATGGCGTCCAAATGCTTGGATTGTGGTAAAGGCGTTACCACAAGATCGAAGGCTGTGCAATGCTCTCTCTGTGATGGGTGGCTACACATTGCCTGCTGCGACATCAGTCCAGATCTTTATGATTACCTCCAGAGAACCACCTCCTCAGCTATCAGTTTCCATTGTGGCTCTTGTCGAACTGTATTGAGCGACAGACGGGTGCTGAACTTAGTCCACGCACTTAGCCCACGATCCATTCCTACTCAAACTGAGAACTGCACCTCTGCTAAACCGCCGGTATCTTCATCGCCTCGTTCGGCCTCTAAATCAGCCAGTTCCACTGGTAAACGAAGTCGCATCCCCTCGTCTTCGCTATCGGAGCCTCTGACACTTTGTGATGGCAGCCATGAGTCCAAGAGAAAGACATATGCGGCAGTAGTGAGTGAGAATGTAGAACAAGCATCGGCTAGCACATGCGCAACTCTGCGAGCGAAGAAAACCAAGAGTGATTCTACGACTAAACCCAAGAAATCTTCTGAACTAAAGTTGGTCCTCGATAGAGTAAGCCAGTTGGAAAACGTTCTCAAGAACAGCATGCCTCCCACGTCCCAACCCACTGAATACAATAAACCGCATTCTCGTGACCATTGTTTGATTATCATGAATGCTCCTGAATCCAACAAGGGTTCCCCGGCTGAAAGGATCCTGGACGACCAAGAGTTTCTGTGGCGAATGGTCTCCCTCCTTTTTGATGAAGGTGAACAAGGGATCAATATTGTCTCTGCTTTTCGTCTCGGAAGAAAGCAAGACGATTCTTCTAAAGTTCGTCCCCTCAAGGTTGTCTGTCAGAGTGAGGATGAGTGTCGCCGTATTCTCAGACGGACCCCACGTCTTAGGGGAGAAACCTTTTATGTTTTGCGGGACCTCTGTATGGAGGATCGGATCCGAATGAAGAAAGCTGTTGAAGAACTACGAGCACGCCGGGAAAATGGTGAGATGAACCTCCACATTGTGGATTTTCGTGTAGTTCAAAAAGCTCCGAGAATTCGCTGGAGGCCAATCTTTGTCGCTCCCGGGCGGTAAGACCGAAGAATAGTTTGAGGGTGATATCTGCTAATGTATGTAGCCTACGAAACAAACTTGATGAAATTCAGAACTTTGCCTATGAAAATCACCCAGATCTTATGGCTTTCACAGAGACTTGGCTGTTTTCGGACATCCTCGACTCAGAGGTGCATATTCCGGGGTATAATCTAGCTCGAGCGGATCGCTCTCGAAATAGGTCCGGAGGTGGTGTGATTCTTTACTGGAAAGAGGACCTCAGGGGTCATCTGGTTGAGGCCATACGTGACAATGAAGATGGGTGTGAACTTCTTTGGTGTCGGATACATGATGGATGCAAATCTCTTATGGTTGGAGTCGTTTACAGAGCCACCTTGGCTTCCGGAGCTAGCTTGCTGGACTCTATTAGTATGCACGGTAGAGGCAAGGGTTGTCTGATATTGGGAGACTTTAATACTGCTAGTATTGACTGGGATTTGCTCCATTGCAATCTTCCCCCGAACTCCTTTGATGCTGTCTTCCTCGAAACCGTGCTTGCATGCCATCTGTTTCAACATGTTACAATGCCCACCAGAATGTGTCCGGGTCAATCGCCACACATCCTCGACCTCGTGATCACACCGACGCAGTCGGATGTTTCCGACTTGAATATCCTCCAACCATTTGGGAGAAGTGACCACTGCGTAGTTTCCCTTTGTTGGATGCGGCGTCTTACCATTCACGATCAGGGAGTATGCCGTCGGAACTTCTGGCGTGCTGATCCACTCCGTTTGAAAAGTGCTGCCGGCGCTATGGACTGGAGTATCCCTCAGCACTTAGATGTCGATGACGCTTGGGCCCTCTTGTACTCCAAGTTCACGTCCCTCATAACTCAGGTCGTTCCACTCTGCAAAGGGAAACGTTTTTCCAATGGCCCTCCTTGAATTGATCGAGAGTTAAAATCCCTTATGCGTCGTCGACGCAAATTGTGGGATAAGTTCAAGACTACGCAATCGCCTCTGGACTACCTTGATTACAAAGCGGTCAGGAATATCTGCACATTCGAAAAGCGAGAGAAGCGACAACAGTACGAGCGCCGCTTGGCTGAGGAATCTTCCACCGCTCCCAAATTACTGTTCTCCTATTTGCGGAGACGTACGAAAGCTGGTAATGGAATACCAGCGTTGTATTCCAAAGAAATTGATACTACTCTTCATGATGATGATACAAAAGCCGGACTCTTGGCCCTGCAGTATTCCTCAGTCTTCTCGACTGAGCCACAGTTTACCTGTGATTTAGCGTCTACGCCTTCATGTACTTTAGAACACTTAGAAATCAGCCCAGAATTGGTTGCCAAGCTTCTTTTCGAGCTAAATCCGAATTCATCACCAGGTCCTGATGGGCTACACTCTTTGTTTCTCAGAACCCTAGCTGAGTACATCGCTGTACCTGTTTGCCAAATTTTTCAGCGGTCTCTTGATGCGGGGCGTCTCCCGCTTGCTTTGAAAATGGGCACCGTCAAGCCCATATATAAAGGTGGAAATCGTCAGGACCCCGGAAACCATCGATCAATTTGCTTAACATCTATAGTTTGTAAAGTCATGGAACGAATTCTCAAACGAGCCCTTCAGAGTCACCTTGACGGCTTGAATGTCATTTCCTCTGCGCAGCATGGCTTCAGGCGAGCTCGCTCATGTGTTTCCAACCTGCTCGTTGCCAGAGAGAGGTGGGCCAGGTCATTAGATGCCGGAAATCGCTTAGACGTTGTCTTCGTCGACTTCAAGAAGGCATTTGATACAGTACCGCACGAACGGCTTCTGTTTAAACTTCGGAGTATTGGTGTTTCTGGAGAGATTCTCTCATGGATCACTGATTTTCTGGATGGCCGTAGCATGCGAGTGAAGGTGAATGAGGTCTACTCCGCTCCCGTTCCCATGACCAGTGGGGTTCCACAAGGCTCTGTCCTTGGCCCCGAGCTGTTTAAAGTCTACATTAATGACCTTCCATCTTGACTCCAGACCGATTGTCTGCCTTATGCTGATGACCTGAAGATATGGATGGAGGTACCAATACCTGAAGCCGCTGACCGACTGCAAGAGAAGCTAGACCTGCTTCATAGCTGGTCCTCGGAATGGCGTTTACCCATCAATCGTGAGAAGTGCTCTGTCCTGCCGATCGGCTCTTCTAACCCATTTGGCGCCTATCACATTGGTGGTTTCTTGATCAGGAATGCTGCCTGTGAGAAAGACCTTGGTATACTCGTATCTCCCGATCTGCGTACCACCGAGGACACCCTGAGGAAGATAGCGGCTGCGAATAGGATGTTCTGTGCCATTAGGAGATCGTTCTCCCGAATGACTCCAGAGGTCTTCAGACTTCTTTTTTCTTCCCATGTGCGCCCTATCCTCGAGTACGGTTTGCCTGCGGCCTACCCTTTTACAAAGAATGAACGTGTTATGATTGAAAGAGTTCAGCGACGAGGCTCGAAATCCATCTCAGCGCTCCGTGACCTGCCTTACACTCAGCGTCTTCGACAGATGAACATGTTTTCCTTGGACTATCGCCGACGTCGGGGTGAGCTGATTTACACCAGTCGAATATTGCAAGGACAGATGGGGAGTGAACTGCAAGAGTTCTTCCAGCTCTGCGCTGATAGCTCGACACGGGGTCACTCTTGGAAACTGTTTAAGCCGAGGAGGGTCCGGATTCATTCTGATTTCACCCTATCAACTCGAGTGGTAAAGGACTAGAACAGCTTGCCTGAACTGGTCGTTAGTGCACAATGTGAGGAAAGTTTTAAGAAACTGTTAGACTCCTATCTGCTGAGTGTGCAGGGATCCAGCTGTTTTCGATGCGACCGTAATGGTCCCTTGCGGAATACCGCCTCGCAGCATGTCGCACAATCCTTGCTCTGAACGGGATGTGATGGAGCTGACACAGGATGCCCTATCTGCTTTCTACCACTCCAATGATACTCCAATGAACACGCTTGTGGTTGGGTTGCGACTCGCAACTATTGAGACCTCAGCTCAGTTTAAGTAAACCTCGACGACCGTATCGCTCCTCGCGATCGGAATGATCCAGTTTTACACAAAGTGAACCGAGGTCCCTTTTATTTCAGGTGACCTACACAGAGGGGACTGCTAGTACAGGGAACGTGAGTAGTAATTGGTTGGCCAGGGTGTAGTTCGGGTGTTACATTTTAGATCGAGACCTCGTAGCACAATCATTTCTGGGCTCTACGATCCGCTCAAGAAGGAAGGCTCAAGTGATTTTCCTTTCATGCCAGTCCCATTTAAATCGGAATCAAAAAATAAGCGACTACTGAACTAAGGGTCCGTTAAACTGGCTACACCATCTAACTTGTGTTAATGAACAAAAGAAAATCAGTAATAAGGAGACGAAAAATTCACCTCTAACAAAAAATTACTTACCCTTGCTTAGTCCTACATCAGTTGTTAACTGACCAGCGGGGACAGAAGAAAATATATCTGAAACGTGCTGCAACGAAAGTAGGCTGGTGTTCAAACCAGGATATTCAGCAGATCTTGACTGCGAGCGCACGATTTCTTCTAGTTCACGTCGAAAAGCGTCCGATTTGAGGACGAGTGATACACGCTGCTTCTGGTGCATGAGACAGACATCCTCCTTTATAGAAGCTGGTCGCATAAGATTCTGTTGGTACTCTGGATCATCAGGGTCTGAAACATCAAGAAAACAATTCACAGAACAACCTATCGTATGGATAAATTTCTGTGACTTCTCTTCTTGTGTGCCGCCATTAAGAGCAACGCTATCATGCATTGCCTGCAAAATCAAAATTATACGGATCGACGGAGAACACCCTACGACGACCGACAGACGATGCGCTCACGAACGAAAGAAGCCCTTGGTTTTGGGTACAACGGCAACTAACAAGTCACATTAAACCATATAAACTTGGGGAGGGACCGCATGGGTAGAAACTGGAGCATTTTATGACACGCATAAGTAAATAAGCTTCTAATCGTTACAGGTCAAGCTACAACATTTTTTTATATCTCCGTTGCTCACGTTACTTATGTGTTTCCTTATTTTTATAACGCTTTTCCTTAAATTGCTATAGAATTAAAACTTTAGACGTAATATTATCTGACATACTTGTTGCCTTTCTAGCGCGCATTTTGGTTGTACGGTTTAGCTACATAATTTTAAACGCGCGCGGTTTGTTAGACATTGGGCCCCGTCGCGGACCAAAAAGCATACAACGCATAAAAGGGGCTGTGTCGGTGCTTGTTATTAGTATGTCAAAACGCACAAATGAATAGTTCAAACTGACATGGGGCAAGAACTAAAGGAAACTCCCAGGTATGTTCTGTTGTGTCGGTGATAGCAGTGGATTACAGCTATTCAAGTTGTTTTTACAGATTGTACAATCGACACGCGACTCATACCGCAATCAGCTAATCAAGGCCCATGTGTGGCGTAGTCCGCGCTGTGCCAGGCACCGGAACTAGGAAGAAAACTTAACGGAAGGAAAAAAACCTGAGTAGGCAAAACGTAAAATAAGCACAGGAACTCAAATCAAAATGCAGAAATGGTACATCGTAATTTGGGCTAAAATGTGAAGGGAAGTTGTCGTAGATGCAAATCGAAGGCATCAAGTATGTGTTCAAACGTCTTAACCGTCGATGCCTATACTAGGTCCTTAGTAATGACATTTCAAGCGTGAAGTCCCTTCCACGTTATTTATCCCCCGTGTTCACGGATCGGAACTAGGCTTGGGAAGCCACCTTAGATTCCCATGATTCGTCGTCAGTCGAGTCCAAATGAATAGGTAAGATAAATCCGGACCAACCAGACCCTATAACATGCGATGATTAAGGGTTATTTCGCCCCGGTGAAGCCGGCAGGGTGGGGGAAATGACCCAGACTAAATAGTCTCTCTGGACATGGCGCACGTCTTAGCTCACTCACCCTCTTGATACCAGCCCACAAAAGTCGCTCCACTGCAATCTTGTCCTGCATTAATCATAAGGGCAGGCTTATGCCCAGTACTCAAAGTGGGGTCTAAGGGAAGCCGCGTAAATTTAACAAACAGCTCACTCGTTATGATTCCAAATGGTCTGCGGATCATCCGCCGCATTTTGAATCCCTCATAAGCAGCCTTTGTCGACACATGATGTAAACGTGACGCTTAGCTCGGTTTGCAACGATACACGTGGCACTCCTTTGCCTCCCAAAACATAGGGCGTTGATAGAGCACCCACCCTAAGGCGAAAAACTGCGCACTTGGAATAATTTGTGGGTACTAGCCGCGGTGGACCAACCCCAGGGTCTAGCAAGCGTACTCTGAAGAAGCTGGGATTCTCCCGGAACGCTGACCGTAACCCAGAACTTTCGGTCACCAGAAAAAGATTGACGACACCTCAAGTGTCCAGGCAAGTCATTAACAGACAAGGCAAACAACAGGAGACCCAGGATGGACCACTGTGGTACCCCACTTAGAAGCAACTGTCGAGAGGAGAAACTCGGCAAACCCGAACGCATATCCCTTGCTCTCTAGACATACCACCATCCACTCTATCGTTTGCCCGGAGATACCGTATGACCGCAGTTTACACCACAGGTGAGACGATGTCGTAAGCTTTGGCGAAGGGAATGAAAAGTACCTCGACCGCTTTGCGCCGAGCCAACGCAACGCCCTAGCATTCCTGGGCATCCAGGAAATCGGTAAAGCGAGATTAGCAAGTAAGGATACTACGCTGAGAGTAAGGAAGCAAGTCGAACATCCTGAAGTTGGTTTACAGGGTATCTCCTATTAACTCCAGCAATTTGACATGCATACTAATCAAAATGACCGATCTGTAGTTTTCAGAAAGATGTTCGTCACCCTGCAAGAAAAAGTGGCGCGCTATCGCTTCTTCCAGTCGAATGGTAAGGAACAGTAGGGAAGAGACTTTTCAAGTGGCACGGGGTCGGCTCACATATTTCAGCTGCTACTTTAGCGAACCATTTGGGGTGTGTAGCATTTGTCGCAAGCTCTTTGCTGGCATTTTGTTCCCGTAGTCGCACGAGCACCTGAGTCGCAGCAACGGGAATGCCCGTCAGCACGGAGTCAGACGGAATGCTTATCTCCAGATACATTGGGGACGTCAAGATGCTGTAACAAATGCCCGCACATGCTGCTTCGCAAGCAGCCAGGCGTTAGCGTGGTCCGTTTCAGCAGTATTGCCGTCGTTACCCAGCAAGACGAGAAGTGAAATTGGTTTACGCCTTCGCTTGATATAGGCGACGAAGCGCTGGGTTTACGAAAGTCGGGTCAGCCAATTCCATTTCCTTGCATAGTCGAGAGCCATGTAGAGGTTGTTTGATGGCATGCCGTGCTTCTCGATAGCACCGGAAAGTCATATATCCTCCAGCGTTTGTTCGGCCTGTTCAGCAGTCGACGTGCAGCTGTATCAACCAATGGCAGCTTCGCCTTTTTAGCTTTCCGCACGAAAATGGGGACATGAAGGACAGACATCTCAAACATGTGGAAGTTGAAGAATCTCCAAGCGGCCTGCAAGTTTTCGTCGGCAGGAATGATGCGGGGCGAAGCTGCGACCGTATACTAGATTGCGTGGAAATCCGCTCGCCATACCTTCGGACTAGGACGATTGTCCTTAGTATTGTTACAGAACAAGGTGAACTTGAATGACAAACAGAAAGGATCGCTAGCTCCCAGAGGCGGTTCACTAAAATAACGTCACGAAACTACGAAGATTAGATGTAGGTGGGACAGGGTTTGACGTCCTATGAACCTAGTTGGCTGATCAACTAAATATTGTAAGGTACCAGGAATGATAGATCGAGCGCAGCAGTTGCTAGCCCACCCGCTGCTGACTGACATGAAAAGTTCTGCTTATTTCTCTCCTGGAGGTAAAAATCACCGATACTTAGGCACTCGGTGGTTGACTGGCCGCGATGGAGGACAGGGAGTCCAGTTGGTCCTGTCGAGATCCCTAGACACTAACACAGGGGTTAGCTACTTGGAGCTACGAATTTAAATAAATTAATAGCTATGTGGTGTATTCTCGGTACAACGAGGCACACCGGTGAAAGTGTAATCAAATATGCATACCAGCATAGCTGCTTTGGAATAGTTCAATATTGCGTTTCAATGAAGGGTGTAACCAAAATGCTCGTGGTTCTTACGAGTGAGCCTTTGGTCTGGAATAGTGGGACCCAGAAACTTGCTGACTCTGAGGAGCGGAAAAATCAGTTACCACATCTGTGTCAATATCCAAGTTAGGAGTAAGTTCAACCTGTGGTAGTCCATGAGCACAAGAGTCAAAGTAAGCATTCGCTGCAGGCGTTGGCCATTTAAAGATAAAAACGTTCAGTACTGCAGTAAAGCATCATATATATATATATATATATATATATATATATATATATATCGAAGCTGATGGTGTACAAATCCATGGTACTGTCCGTTCTTCTATACGGCAGTGAAACGTGGACGATGTACCGTCGGGATGTGCGATATCTCGAGCGGTTCCATCAGCAGTGTCTGCGACGAATTTTGCGGATCGGTTGGGGCGCCAGAGTTGCAGACACGGAAGTTTTGCACCGAAGTGGGATGTATGCAGTGGACGGCATACTTTTACTGCGACACCTGAGATGGCTCGGTCATGTGAGGCGTACGGATTCGACGCGAATACCGAAACAACTTTTATACGCTCAGCTGAGTATAGGGAAGCGGCATGTGGGGAAACCAAACTTACGTTACCAGGACATGATTAAAGTGATCCTGACACGTTCTAATCTTGATTGCAGATCATGGGAATCGAAGGCGTTTGATGGGCGTGCATGGCGCGATCTTATCACGGAGGCATTTGCTGAAGTGCGGGAGAAAGCCCTCATGCATGCAGAGAAGAAGCGGCAAGTGCGGAAGCGGCAAGCACCAATGCATTGTACTCCATCGACATCGAGCGCATTGTGCTGTAGAACATGCGGTCGCGAGTGCCTTAGTCAGGCAGGCCCAGTGAGCAATGAGAGAGGTCACTCGGGACCACTGCCGAAGCGACGACGGGTCCCGCAGTGAACGTAGGCAGCACCGGCGCATCGTTTGTAGGCACGCTGAATTCGATTTACTAACCGCATGCTTGCATGCTAAGTCTCTTTATTTCAGGTGGTGGGTTTGCGATTCTCTCCTAATGCCTTTCTTTCTCATATAAATGTCTAGTGGGCCATGAGCTGTGCCATTTGGGGCCACTACAGAAGCGACGACGGGTCCTGCAGAGAATTACGGCGAGCCGGCGCAGCGTTTGTAGGCACGCTGAATTCGATTTACTAACCGCGTGCTTGCATGCTAAGTCTCTTTATTTCAGGTGGTGGGTTTGCGATTCTCTCATAATGCCTTTCTTTCTCATATAAATATCTAGTGGGCCACGAGCTGTGCCATTTGGGGCCACTACAGGAGCGACGACGGGTATTGCAGAGAATTACGGCGAGCCTGCACAGCGTTTGTAGACACCCTGAATTCGATTTACTAACCGCGTGCTTGCATGCTAAGTCACTTTTTTTCAGGTGGTGGGTTTACAGTTTTTACCTTAATGCTTTTCTATCTCATATAAATATCTCCTGTACTCTATTCCATTAACTTGCACACCTCGCCTAAGCCAATTGTGTTCGATTTCCGTAGCATATTTGTGTTCGTGGCATTCCGTGAACTATACTTCCTGACCTCGTGCACTTAGCTAGGATTTGTTTGTAAACAACTTATTACGTTCGCTATTTAATTAAGGTTTATATCACCGTTTCCTTATGCATTAATCGAGCTTTTCTCTTTTTCTTTCTCTCTCTCGCAAGTTTTTGGCTGTTGTTTGATATCCCCGGTGTGGATGCGCTTGATTTGCATGTTGACAAGGTGCCAACCTGTCTATTACACACTACCTCGTGCATACTGGCTTTAGGAGACAGTTGGTCGTTGCTGGAGGGGACGGGGTGCACGGTCCTTGTGGCCGTGTTAGGATCAAAGAGTGGTTCCATGCAGTCAGTGTGGAGCGGACTACGGTCCAGCCA